GGGACTTCTTTGCCGAATTGTCTGCTGATCCTGTGCTCCGATGTCCGCAGAACAGAAACATACGAGGAGGTCTCACCTTTCCACCAAGGACTTCATCACCGATGATCAGACATGCCGCCGTGTGGATGGTCTTGGATGGATTGGGCACCACGGATGATGTCATGATGGAAGACGGTTTGCTGGATAAGGGGGAGAATGAGGCTCGCGAGGCGATCGGAGCGAGAGAACTGGTACTAAGCAATGATCGGGAGATATGGCGAGAGAGTTGATTGAGACGATTTAACATGGAGGGGGAACGCGGGGGAGTTTGCGGGTTGAGGAGAGTTCAGGCCGCGGGACACTGAAGACGATTTTATGAAGGATTAGAGGGAGCGGGGTGGGGAATCTCCGATCATCGCACTCCTGCGCTCTTCATTATCGCTTGCAAACGGGGAGTATCGTTCTTTCAGTCATCAGCTTTCAGCCTTATACAGTCTCTCCGCCTCCTGTGCAGACTTATCAAGAAGGCGCTTGAACATCCTTCCCGGCTTTATTTGTATCGTTTGACCGTCTTACTTTCTATTCTTCCAGCGACATGGTGATTCTCCGTCTGCCCCGCATCCTGCCTTCCTGCAAGATCTGCTGACCATAATATATCTCTCTTAGTCTGAATCACGATTATATTCTTTCTCTCCAGAGACAAAAGAGAAACTGCGCAAGTTCCGCTTGGGAACCTCCAGGGCGAAAGATCCGCAGGCGGTCATTTGTAGGACACCCATTTCCTGGCCCTAGACGACAAGCCATACGCCACTTGCCGACGCAAGGCACACAGGACCCCATTCTTGAGATGCGAACTTTCACAAAAGGCAAAAATTGACGATCGGTCTGGCAGACATCATCGATTCCAAGACACAGGAGATCCGAGCCGAAGATGGCGAAGTCTACACGAAAATGGAGGATCTGGCCGACGAGCTCCCTGAATCTTCCCCGCGCTTCATTCTTTTGAGTTATCCCTTGACCCTGGTAGGTGGCATCCATGCTGGAGGCTCCAAGGCACCACCCCTCGCGTTTGTTCAAGGAATGTTCGTGTGCTCAAAATTAACTTTTTCTTGTCTCACCAGGGTTCCGGTCGCCTGGCGGTCCCTTACGTCCTCCTCTACTACCTTCCCGAGAATTGCAATCCATCCATGAGAATGACATATGCCGGCGCTGTGGAGTTGATGCGCAATACGGCAGAAGTCAACCGCGTGATTGAGGTCCAGGATGAGGACGATATACTTTCCATCGAATCGAAGCTTCAGGGATCGGACTAATCGAACTGTAGAACGGCTCGTATGGCAAGATACTACAATCACTGTGATATTCGACTGCGTCCTGGGAAGATGGATGCGACGTAATGATTGTACCGGGACTGCTCCTGTCCCCATACGTGTTAGTATTGCGTTCTAGGATGCCCGATTGAGTTGGATTTTTTTGCGGAGGGATTATCCCTGTTGACCAGGATCCTGCAAATCTGCGAAGCTGCAACGACATACCGGCGATACACAATTACCCACGCAGCGGCTACCTATATCCTTTCTCCAGATATCGTCGAATCAATGACTTTCATTGTATTCCTTGCAACTGTTACCGTGCAGCTCATTTAACTCGTATTGCATGTGCTTCAGGTTCTCTTACGGCGACAGTGGGTAGAAGCATGTGACATGGATACTATATTGTCACGGAGCAACTCTCAGAAGTCATTAGAGACGTGCCAAGAGCACCGGGACTGTCATCTGTTCCGTAGGATCGCAGATCGGGCCCATCAATAACAAAGCATCTGTATAGACGCTTCATCGATCGTGGTTATATTCGAAACAACCGGTAAAACCTTGATACAGATCCTGTCGTACTGCGCAATTACGGTAAATCCGCACTGGAGAATTCTCGGCCAGATGAAGCGGAGTAAACAGACAAGGCAGCTAAGGTTTATTACCATATTTATTGGATGATTTGGATCTGTTGGACTGTTGTGGACTTGTGCTGCTGTGCCACTGCATTACTACTGGGCCTGCTGGTGCTGGCAGCCACCACGGCCTTTTTGGCCTTCATTTCAATCATTTGGCTGGAATCAATTATCCCTGTCTAGTTAGGCAGAGTCAAGGGAGTGTGATTGGGTCCACGTCCCCGATACCAGAGACCTGGTTGTTTGAGCAGTTATTTAGTGTCATTAGTGGTGGCTGGCTTGTAGTGACAATGGCATCTTCGTAGTGGTGCAGATTTGAAGGCACCAAGTGGGTGGGTCGGTGGGTTTCGGAGGCACTGACCACCGTGTCTTGCTCTGGTAAGTCTAGTACTCCACCGGTTCAATTAGTGATATCGGGTGGTATATGGTACATAATATTACATTGGTATGGCATAAAGATGTAAGCTGAAGTAACTTATCTGGGTATACTACCTCTACAAAGATCGCATGTTGGAGAGAAGTGGCCGAAATAGCAATTGATCCACTATAGATCAGGCCATAGCAATATTCATTGCTGAGGACACATCATCATCATCATCATCCAGAATCATGCAAACAAGCCGAGCAGAACGAACAACGTCACTTCCCACCCCATAGGTAGAAGTCTCCCTGAGACAATCCCAATCCACCAATCTGCAGATTGATAGTCGCGCCATCCCTGCCATGAGGAGCATTAGGAGCATCCAAAACACCCCCATGTGGTCTAGGGGCCACCACCAGGATTCCTAAAGCGCGAATCTGCAGCCCGGCGCATGCTGGAAGCCGTTGGAGATTCCATGCATGTCCATTTACCATCTCGGTCATTGCATCAAAGTGTCGGTCCATAACCAGCTGGTCGCGTTTCTGGCGCTCCCTCGGACTATTCCGTCGCCAATTACAGCGGCGTGCTTTTGAGGGGTTAGTCCAGCCCATATGATATTGCTGCAGTAGAGCGTCTAGGCAGTGCTGCTGGCATATGCGGGATGGTTCTATGCTGGTCTTTATTAAACTTGTACCTTTGTTCATACCAGAACAATGTATGACCTCAATGATATATGCAGATATGAATCATGTATCCGGTTGGCACACTAGCAAGGGGCCCTAGAGATCTGCAGACTCGTCAAGGTGCCATTGTTGCCATTATTCATGGTTACCTATAATTAGGGGAGAACAAGCGTCTTGTTCATTATTCAGGGGTTGGCGCGCTTGTACTACTGGAATTTCTTCATAGATACGGAGTATGTAACTCGTATGGTTTCAGTGATTACCAGCTGGGTAAATCGTCCGAGCTGGACTACTTTAGCTCATGCTAAATCTTTCTTGTTTTATCAAAGGGAATCATCATCCGTGGTCCCTCAATGAGTAAGGTATTAGTTAAGATTCTACTTGAAACATCTCTGTCGAACTGCCAAGCACGTTTTGTTTTTGATGGGCTTTTTGCTGTAGACAACAGACTGCATAGAATTACTCCAAACGGACAATACAGTAACGACTGCGGACGTACTTATGAATCCTGGTCGTAGCTCGTTTACCAATACCATGTAGAGAGATACGTAAGGTGACCCGGGACAACGGTTCCCAGGCAGCTAAAATCCATTTCTCGCCACGATGCGGAGTATATTGTACCGGAATGAACTGTTAAAGGAATCGGTGGAATGATGTCCAGGCCTGTCATACCACACGGCCATTTGACAGCCATAAGTGACGGATTTGCACGCGGAATTGCACTGCGGCCGGAAACACTCCATACGGAGGAGATTCACACCAAGACACACCAGGCGAGACGCCAGTGGGTTCCAGCAAAGTTCCAGAGCGGGAAGAGTGCCTAATCCATCCAAGCTCCACCTCGGACGAGGCCCCAACCCGATGCCTAGTCGTCATTAATTGTGGCTTATTTCGTATGGTCGATTGCGTATTATTCAATTACTCAGGATTGTCCAGAGTGCCAACTGCCCAGAACAAAGATATTTAGCGTCTCGGCTAGACGGCAACAAACTATGGTAACTCCCAATTTCGTTCCCATGGAGTCCACGGTTTGTCCCTGAATCTTTAAAACGTTCTCGCGGATGAATTAAGTCTGTATTTATAATAGGTTGTTTTTGATAAAATAAGTACAATACTTACCTACATGAATCCTCTTGCCATACAGCGCTATCTGAATGTATATTGTAGGGTACAAGGGTACATAGGTTGCATGAAGGCGTAAAAATACAGTAAGGTATCCACCAATATCCACCCCTCTTGCTCGTTCGGTTCCCCCAGAAAGTTTGTTCCTATGCTAAGTGCCAAAATGGGTAGGTAAATGATTATTATCTTCATTCACCCGGTCATTGTCAAATATTAAATTTATCTGGGCTTGATTTTTCTTTTTATTTTATTTCAAGGGCCCATTTCCCCTACTTTATTATTAGTATTGCTCTTTCCTTCCCGGTTTCCCTGGGTCGGTCGCTGTCAATGCCGCATATACAAACCACCACACCCACAGTCTTCGCATCGTTCCTCACGACGATGAAACCAATGCAATCCAAGAACTAGACAGTTGACAGGTTATCAAGACTACCGCCTTATTCGACCCGACCGATCGTCAAATTGACTCCTGTTGCAGTTGTGTCCGAGTGCACTGACCGCTACTCAGCCAATCACCCAGAATAAAGTCCGCCCAGAATTGCCTTCCCTGCCCGTCTCACGTATTATTATTACCCATTGTTCGTGCAGTCCCTGCGTTCATTTCCACCCTCACCGTCTCGTCGGGTCTCCCAGGCCTTTGGATTCGGTACGCCTCGTGAGACCTGCCATACCTGTGATTCACCACTTCTCTCGAATTCGCCCCCCTTTTGATCTCACGCGTCCTAGTCAACTAATATTTGGTCGCCATACATCGCCTTTTTTGCGCTTGAAATGTTATGAGAACGGAGTTCAACGGAGGAATTGATGCTATATTTGAGGAGGACGATCGCTAGACTTCTATCAGTCCCAACGCCACGGATCAATCAACTACGGATTCAGCGTGGAGATTTCATAACAGGATACAGCGAAGATGTCCAGTCAACACGACCCTAGCCGACCTGGTGAGGATAGGCAGGAAGGTTTCAGCAAGTATTTGAAGCGCATGAAAACGATCTTGAAAAGGAGCCCAACTGCAAGGAGTTCGATATCAAGTATGCAGGAGATTACTGAACGACCAGAACCGAGCCAAGTTGTCTCGTAAGTTACTTTTTTTTTTCTGCACATTCTTCAACATTAGCTAGATTCTCTTTTTTTGTCACTCGTTCCGTCTTCGCCAAACACATTTGTCATGATACTATACCACTATATATTAATCAAGTTGCAGTCCCAGGCCTACCCCCGCCCCAGCTCAAAAGCCCGCCGCCAAACCAACTACTCAGCCGACCGTGGTAACGCACTGGAGCGCCATCCAAGAAGAGAAGGCTCGCGCCCTTTTCGCCAAGTATGGACTGACGCTTGAGTCTGGAGAGTGGAAAACGCCGAGCGACATGACTGTCCAGCGCGTTGCCAAGCCGATCCGTATGAGAGTTCGCCGCACTTGTCATCGATGCGAAACTACCTTTGGGCCCGACAAGGTGTGTGTCAATTGCCAGCATATTCGGTGCACCAAGTGTCCGCGCCACACCTCCACCAAACCCAAGGATCAGGCGCAAAATGCTCTCGAGGCTATCCGCGCAGCGCAAGGACATGGGCCACCTCGACACATGAGCAAGGAATTACAACTCGCCATTCCTTCTCGCACTGGTGGCCAAGACCTCGTCCTCAAGCCGATTCGGCAGAGAGTCCGGCGCACTTGTCATCGGTGTAATACTATGTTTCCTAACAATGACGTGACGGAATGCCCTACTTGTAGACACATACGATGCAAGAAATGTCCTCGAGAACCGTATGCAAGCCTAGTTCAACAACTTCTTCTTGACAATCAGCTGATAAAGGCTAGGTCCAAACCGCATAAATATCCGGATGGCTATCCTGGAGACGCAGAACCTCCGTCAGAACCACCGGCACGAACCTGGAAGAAACCACGACAGAGGGTGCGCTACACTTGTCACAAATGTTCTACGCCGTATCGATCTCGGGAGACGACCTGCTCGAATTGCGGTCAGGAGAAGGGACCGGAGACTATACGAGACCCGTATGTTCATGAATGCCTGATTTCTTGAGATAACTCTGACAATTGATCAGGCCGAAAAAGAATAAACCGGAACCAGACCCGGAGATCTCAAGGCGGGTGGAGGAACGACTAGCAAACATGAGCGCTACCAAGTAACGACAATCGCTTTGCATTTTCCGATTAATCTATCAGCGACTGCGATATGGACTTTCATGCATTTCTCTTTACCACAACAACAGATTTCATCTGACGAATCGAGGCACTAAAGGGATATTTTCCTCATACTAGCTTCCTGTTGAATCTATCTAGAATTCTTCATTATTATTGAAGACAGAAACACACTCCTCGCATTACCACCTTCGACTTCAACCCTGGATATCGAAGTGTAGTGTATGGGCATGTTTATGCTCGCCCACCATAGAGACAATATTAACGACTATAGAACTCTAGTAATTAATGGCAAGTTACTGACCAACAGACACCATACGTCATCCAGTCCATATTGGGACGGATTGTTGCTCGAAGGACTGATAGAGTTTCAGGGTTGCTATCCGCTGTCATCGTTAGGGAGAGCCTCGGGCCAGCCCGCGTTAATGACTACTCGCCAGGCTTTGAAGTCAATCGCCTGTCATGGATTGATCAGTGCCGACTGTGGATATCATCGATACCATTGTTAATCCCAATAGCATAAAACAGCAAATTGAGTTATGATTCATCGAAACCGGTGGCCTAACCGCCGGTCCTAGTACGCTGATTAAGTGCTATGGACCCGGCGGAACGTTGGATCTTGATTCCCAATAGCCAAAAGGATTTTCAGACTTCCAGAGGCCCACTTGAATCTGTAGCTGGCAGTGGAATAACGGTCAAAACAGTGGATCCTACGGATACCTTTTAGATATTGAAAGCACGCAGTTGGCTTGACAATATGTGTATGCCAGGAGGGGTAGGGCGTACTTCCGACAGCACCTTCATTTATCCCCTGAATCTATCTCGTCTGTAACCGACGCAATACCCAATATTATAAACACATACTTGACACCCGACTTCGCGTACGAAAGTACTATAACAGAGTTTACACGAGTAGGTAGCGTCCCACGCCAAAACCAGAAAACGCAGCACTCGGGCCATGTCATGCAATCACTGCCAGGTCTCACTGGGTTTATTAGTTGTGGCTGGAAGACCAGAATCCACTACTTTGATTTAGGCATATTCAGGCCGTCAGTGCTACCGTTCCAGCCTTCTTTGAGTTAGTCCCTCCGGTGAAGCGTCCATTGAGGTCCGTGGTTTGGTTTGGGTGGTGGAATTACGGATCCCGGGAGTTTGTCGGGGCCGGAGAATAATTATATTGGATTTTTGATTTTTTTTGGAGCACTTACAGTGCCAACCGGAACCTAGGAAATCCGTATTGATACTCCGTATGGATGTATCTTGAGAATGTAGTCCTACCTACTACCTTAGGGTACTGGACATCAAATTCATACTAGAATTGTATATATGTAACCAGGATTGCATTTTTCCAACAAATTGACCTGCCATAGAACCGACGTGTTCCTCATCAATAGCATTGTCTATCATGAAAATCCTGTTGTTATTAAGTCGATCCTTACCATAAGAGTCGAGTCAAGTCCCAACGCTAAGGGAGTGATTTACGTGCCAAGAAATTAGTTGAAGGACGGAAATGGACGGAGTTTCCGGACAGCCAGTCTGGTCCTCATTTTTGGGCATTTTAACTTTCGAGCTCTCAAGTAGGGGACGTCGGAACCGAGGCTGCCGTCGTGAGGTAAGGCAGCACAATCGGACCCCTTTCGAATGATCTGCTGAATATGGATCGACTGCGGTAGCGGTAGTCACATCTGTCAGATCCCTTTTGTTATCTATCACAACGCCGGCATTTGCATTTGCCCATGTGCTTATGCGAGCTCGCCAGATCTGCTGGATCTGAGATCAGAGATGAGTATGATCCTCGCGAGTCGGCTAGTCTGACTCGTCACGTCCTGTGTTCTGGGATAAGCTCCAAAACCGTTGGAACTAGACCGGCTAAAGTTTAGAAGATGTGATGGTTCACATTGGACTGATTCGAAACCATTAGATCCCTGGATTAAAGCAAGCAACAGCAAGCCTGGCAGAGCCAGCCGTCTAGTATCCAAGCTCGGGCCTCCAGCCAAACCTGATTTACTTTTAACAACCGTTGATCTTGCCCCTTATCCCTCGACGTCAGGCGGTCAAGTTCGCTCGGTGTTAACGTCTAATGCTAGATATGTTTACAGGAGCTATAAGGTTACTCCTGGTGGACTGAACTCCTAGTCGGCAGAAGTTGTGGCTTTGGCTTGCGAGTCATTGTTACTTGAGTGCCACAGAGTAGCTGAACATGCTTGAGCAAATATCCATATTCCATATCCATTATGTCGGACGCGTGCTTCAAGTGGAATAAGCTTGCCATAATACAATTGAACTCAGAGACTCAGACCAAATGAGAAACATGTTGAGTAATTGACTTGGCTATAAATATTTGCATCCTCTGCTATTGCCAATGTATGAGCATGATACATGACAGAATGAACTTGCTGAAAGCACGTAGTACGGAGTGGATAACTACAATTTTCTGACTTTGACTGTACCATGGGTGTATTTGCACTTTACCCACCCTGGCGGCTCGGTCCGCTTGCCCCGCTCGGTGTACCATGATTCTGTTCGATACGAAAAGCCTTACCAGAAATACAAGCCTGAGCCACATACGGGTATTCTACTGTGTATGTATGAGCAGGCGAGGCAAGCAGTGGTGATAGATCCCAGCTGTTGTATTGCTCTGCAATGAAGAGGTTTATTTTTTACACTTTTTTCATCAACATGCGTTTTCCCCTTTTTGTAGCCGTACAACTTGGACTGGGTATTCTCTCTGCTATATATATACTGTGCCCACTGCATGGGAAACAGTTTGTATCTTCTTTGATCTTCACTTGCCTGCAAGCAACAATGCAATATCTGCAGGCTAGGATTACAAAGCACTTCATTTTTATCGGCAAAAAGGTATCTCACCTTAGCATACAATCAGAGCCATTGTGTTAGGCTTAAGGGACAAAGAGTCATGCCGTATTACTGCTGGCCCTGTTTTGCCGTCTGTCCTGTTCTGGGGAAAGTCAGGGGCTTGCCAGGGCTCTGACCCTGATTTATGATCGAGAGACTGCCAATGCTGTCGGAGACTCACGCCCTGCCAATAGTGTTCCAGACATTCCTTCATTAGAGACTCGTACAGTAGAGAGCTGGTCTCATATAGTCGGGGCTGATGTCATGTAATGAGGTCAATGCTAGTGGTCAGAAAATTCGTTTCTTGGATTTTCTCTTTACAAGAGACCTCCAACTTTGCCACAAAACTGGACGAAGAGTGTACTGTCGGGTTGTTGAGTAGGACATGGGGCTACTCCAACCATAACCAAGCCACACACCTGCGCATCCTTCAACTGCCATTGACCGCAGGGGGGCAACTACTTACCCCTCATCCAGCATCATATTTGTTCTCATCCGCTGTTCTACTCTCAACTTCCCGCCTGTTGCATCCCAGCACAGTGGGAACAAATAGGATATAATCCGATGAATGTAGCATGCCGGTGTTGTTCACGCACTACTGCCAGTCTAAGATACTAGTGGCCTTTGTAGCCTCGACGACTAGTTCTGCATCAACCCATTTCTGGAAGGAAAGAAACTTCATGTGGCAAAGTACAGCCTGTTGCTCGGCGTATGACCAGAAAACTCGGAGAGTTACTCCTGGTTCGGAGAGTTATTTGGTAGGTTGACGGACCTCGTTCACTGCGATTATCCTGGTCGCTGGGATTACTGTTGCCACTACGGAGTACACCGTGCAAGAGAAGGCTAATTAATGGACATTAGCATACATTTGTTTCGAGCCGAGTAAATGTACAAGAGTGGAGTTGGCTCTCGACAGATCAAGACGGTAACAGTGGTATTCGTACGATGACTTGCAGCAAGCAAACAGAAGTACCATTTCTTCAAGGTATGGTAGTTTGGGTATCAACGCCACGTTCTGAACACTGCCTTCTGCATTCGAGGACTGGGTAATCTCATAAACGTTTTGTATGACGTGCTAATCTTCCAACGTTCCCCCGGAAAGCAAAAATCCCCTGCGTCAACTTTCCCCTCCTACCAACTTCCTTCGCTTTCCCGAGTAGCCTTCGGTTTCTGATGCATGCTTGCGTTTTTCGTCGCACCTGCAGATAAGACAGTCGATGTAGAAGGCATTTTTGGAAAAGTACCCCAGCGCCTCATACGCGGGGTTGGCTCCGACGAAGGTGGTGGTGTCCCAGTAGAAGCATTCGTCGCAGAATGCCCTCACGCATCGCCTGCAGCAAAATAAGAGGCGTCCTGCTTCTGATGCATTCTTGTGGCATTTCCAACAGTAATGATGGGGGCAAATTGAACTTCCCGAACTCGGATGTTCTTCTTCAATCACGCTCTCAAGGCAAGCAGGGTGAAAAGCACGAGGGCATATGTCACAGTCCTCCGCGTTGAACTGATGACATACGAAGCACGTCTGAGATGTATTAGCATGCGCTGTTCCTTGATTCGGATCGCCACTCACTATTTGATGGGTAAATGTGTTCGTGGGTGAGGCACACTCCTCATTAGTGGACGTCGGCTCTTCGACCGAGGGACGCAGGCTTTCCTTGCTCACTGCATAGCCATCGATCATGACCGTCCTCTCCTTACCAATGCGACGATTAGAACGGAGCAGATTGCTGCTCTCTTCTTCAGCATATACTGTATGATGGCGTCCGCTTGTATCAATCGTCACCCCATTGAACAAGTTTGTCCTGACTCTGTCGGCCTTCTCGAGCCAGAGTTGTTCTTGCTCAACGGTCAGACAACGAGAGAGCCCTCCGTCTTTTTGGGTACTTGAACACTTGTCCAGAATGGTGCTCATGTCCCACTGGGACATTTCGTTTGTATCAATTTGCTTCTGAGACAAGAACGTCTGATCCACGAAGATGGGCGAAGGCAAGCCAAATGTATCCGTCGAGTTCTGAGACATGCTCACCTCTTCAGCCTTGAGCATCTCAAGGTAATCATTTCCGGGGCAATTGGGTATGTTCTCGGTCACTCTGTCTGCGATGTAGGCTTTTTTGACGAGCCGACGGCTCATCTGCTCTTCGACTGTGCCTGTGGAACGGAGCTTATAAATCACGACCGGCCGGGTCTGTCCAATTCGATGCACTCGTGCTTCAGCCTGTCGCATCACTTGAGGGTTCCAATCCTCATCCAAGAATACAACCACAGAGGAGCTGGTCAAATTTAGCCCTTCCCCGCCCGCTCTAATCGAAATCAGGAAAACCTTGTATCTCGGATCATTCTGAAAAAGGTGCACCATAACCTTGCGCCATGGCCCAGTGGTTCTCCCGTCGAGCCGGGCGTATTCGAAGACTCGGTTGCTGCCTTGGAGCATCATGACTAGGTCCTCGCATAGGTTGAGACATTGATCAAAGTTTGAGAAGACAATGACTTTTGTCTCGGTCGTCACGTAATGTTGAAGGAGCTTCTTCAGGACTAAGAATTTGCCGGATTGATTTATAAGATGCTCTCCCAATTCATACGGACTGGGAATCGCGTCTGCAAAAAGATAAGGATGAATGCAGCACTGCTCAATGTCAGTAATGCACAAATGGGAGGGAAACTTGAGGACTGACTTTTCTTAGCTCCATGAGAATATTTCCTGTGATGCGGTACTTTCCAGGCCCAAGCGTCTCTGCAGAACCCTCAGACATTGAATTGACTGTCTTAGAACATGTGTTGCCGACAGCTGGTTGTTCAGACAAGGGGCCATCTAGTTGAATGTGCGAGGTAGTCGCATTCAAGGGCAACTGCCAGATTTCTGCACCTGTAAGGATTCTCATATACAATGAGCGCTGTGCAGGCGATAAAGGCACCGAAAGAACAGTTTCCGTTTTGGGCGGAATATCCAATCCAACTCCGGGCGAATCCTTGGTTCTTCGGATCATGATCAGCCTCAGGAAATTTCTGACACATTCGAGAAATGCAGGGTCGAATTTCCCCTCGCTAACGGAGAAGGCCTCCTGGAAGAGCTTCTCGGTGTCTTGCACAAAGATCTCAGGGTAGAGCCAATGGAATATCGACCACAGTTCGCTCAAGTCATTCTGTATCGGGGTGCTGTGAGCGCGGCAAATTAGCAGCGTTCGGTTTATAGAAAGGGCTGCAACTTACCCGGAGAGCACGAGCTTCATCTCTGCTTTGATGCGATTGAGGACCAACGATCTCTTCGAACGACTGTTCTTAATCCGGTGGCCCTCGTCAAGGACAACGCCTCGCCAAACGAAAACCCTTGAGAACCAGTTGATCTCCGAGATCAAAGTCTCGTATGTCGTGATCACAATATCCACAATGTCTGTCGGACCCTTGAAAATACTGATCTTTTTCTGGGCAGATACCATCTTCTTCACGTTGTCCCGTTGCTCGAAGCTGCCATGGTATTTCACTGCTCGAAGGCCCGGTGTCCACTTTTCGATTTCTGTTAACCATGTTTCCAGGATACTTAGCGGACACACGACGAGAAAGGGCGTATTGCTGTTTGAATGTCCACCATCTCTTTCTTTCAAATATTGGAAGAAGCTCAAGGTCTGAAGCGTCTTGCCTAGACCCATCTCGTCGGCAAGAATACCACCGACGCCATTGCGGCACAGATATACCAAGAAAGACAGACCTTCAAGCTGGTACGGCTTTAACTTTGCTCTGAGACTGTACTAACGTCAGCTTAGAAATGAAGACGGGAGCTGCTACAGTCAACTTACCCTCTGGGCTGTGCACCGAGACTTTCATATTCGACTATCTTACCAGGTGCGGAACTGTTTCTGCTGGCCAGCTTTTCAAATGACTTTGCGCCGCCAAGGAGAGGGAGTATGATTTCCACGTGCGAGATCAGAAATGTGATCCGCCTCGTTCGGATGTCCTGAAGAATGTCCTGTTTTCTGCTGGATGCGGATATGTTAAGATGGGGTTCTGTTGACCAGGGGGTGCCGAAGACTCGCGAACGGCCCTGTCGCTCTGTCTTTTTGAAACTCTCTCGGTCCAGCGAAGCATGGATTCCAGTGTCAGCGGTACATCGAGTCTCACCGGCGCCATTTTCACCGATGCTTTCCGACCCTTCGGAATAGTTGGGAGATGTCGGCGGCGAGATACTCCATGATCGAGGTGTGCTCAATGCGGAAGACAAAGACCCCGACTCCGAGCTTCGACTGGTATATGGCGCTCGAGAGACGTTATTGCCCATGTTGAAATGCATCTTCGTATGATAGGAGGGAGATGAAGTGTAGCTGAGGGGGCTTCGTATGTGAGTAAGTTGAAAAACTGAGGATAGCCATGAGAGAGAAGAACCGGCGAACAGCTTCTAAAGGTAAGGAGTGGAGAAATAGCTATGCTTCACAGTTTGAGATCTTCTGAAACGAATGTGAGTGACGAGCATACTGAGTGTTACTCTTCAGGGGCAAAAGAACTACTGTTCTTAGGGCATGCCTCACTTGTACTTAGATCTCAGCTGACTAGTGAATCAGAAGTATGAAAATCTGGGGTAGTGTTCTGTGGGGAAGTGATCTGAAACAGATGCTTTGCAGTTCTCAGTGAATTTGCCAGATCTGTAGCCATCAAGGCGTGTGAGAGCTTTCAGGCTGCCTTCAATGTGTTATTTGAAATGAAGCCTGGATAGCATGGTTTTCACTTAAGACGTGGAAGCTAGGCTCTTCAGTACCATTGCATGGTATTCAGTTGTCCTAATTTATTGTTCAGGAGTCAGGACGAGCTTTGTGTGTGCAGGACTTATGTATACTTCACTTAGAATGATCATGGGGCTAAGCACGATAGTATGCTTGTAGATGAAGTCATCCATGTCTTCTTCTCAGTGATATAAAAAGGGTTAGAAAGCACACAGAACATATCTTCATGTCCCCTTACTATCACTAAATATCCTGTGCATTCTCTTCATCAATCCAGAGAAAGAACGCCATTACACCTTAATCCTCCGACTCAACTGCTCCGTCCCTGCCGACTTCTCAAAGTCAATCTCCCCCAAATCGACCCTCTTTCCCAACGCGCGCCGGATAATCCAATCCTTGCTATTGACTTCTTCCTCGACATCCCCTTCTTGCAGCTCCGGAATCCGATCCGACCCTTCCAACCGCTTGAGGACTACATCATCCTCCGGCCGCGAGAAGTAGACGAGACTATACCGGGTCCAATCAGCCTGCTGGCTCGGCGGCGCCGCCACGCGGTGGATGTTCGACCGGAACAGCCCATTCGTGAACTTGACCATTGCATCTCCGAGGTTAACGATCGCGTGGCCAGGGAGAGGCCGCACGTAGACCCATTGCGCGTCTACGCCGGGTGGGAGAACCTGCAGCCCGCCGAGCCGGTTGAAGAGGATCGTAATGCTGCCGAAGTCGGTGTGTTCGCCTAAGGCGGTGCATCTGTCGTCGGCCGGCTGGGGTGGCGCTTTGATGAAGCGGACTTGGTCGCCGCTGAGGGCGCTGAGACGGTGGAGACCTGGTAGAGTCGCCGGCGGGAGGCCTAGGCTGTCGTTTAGGAGGGTGAGGATCAGAGTGACGATCGAGTGGGAGGCGCGAATGAATGACTCAAGGGTTGGACGAGCTTGATGGAGGATTGCTGGGGCTGGTAGCTGTGGTGTCATGCCTAGGATGTCGTTCTTTGAGACCTAGTCGACTTGTGAGCTTTGGCGTTCAGTCGATTGGGACTGCTAAGAACAGACATTGTAAAACTCGTTCCGGTCAAGATTCCCTTGACGATCGACGACCGCTGCACCCTGTGCTTTATAACCGTGGTAGGAGTTAAGGCTGCTAAAGTCATATTGTAGTTTCTCCTCCAGGCTGAGATTCAATAGGTTCTCGCCTGTTTGGAACAGCTTGTCTGCACCATCGAGGATGCCACGGCCCTCTTCGCAGCCTCCCAGGTCGAGGTAGAAAAACCCTAGATCTTCGCATGCTTGCATCAGCCTCTGGACCTCGTACGCGTCACGCGCAAGCAGCTTCTGGAGAGATAGACGGAGTAGGGGAGCGGTTGGTATGTCACCTGGGAAAGGTGGCAGCCCGGGGAAATCGTTCGTATCGACAATCATGTTGAAGTTGTACAAAACAAGGATAGTCTCTAATATTTGCACTAAGCTCTGGAGAGCGAATTTAAATAAAGAACGACCTCCCGTTCATTCTTTATATCAGCACTCGAGTCGAGTGCCCTGTGGCCCCCATGCGGGGAAGAGAGTTGCAACCGAGGGCCAACAGAGTGCGGAGCTCACAACCTAGACTGACAATTGTCATCGTGATTGTGATTGAGCTTGAGATTCTGACTTTTCAGAAGCTGAATGGTCAGTGCGACCATCTTCCCCGAAAATAATATAGATCTCCGCCTCTGAGTTGCGCAGTCTATCGCCTGCTGAGGCATCCTATGCACTTGGCATCGAAGATACGGGAGCAAAAGTCCTCCAGTTATGCGGATTGAACTTCAATGCAAGCCCATAGTGCCGAAGTACGTTTCGTTGGGAGATTTGACTTGAGCTTTTCGGAATCTGGTGAGCCCAATTGAAGATGAGTGTAGTCGAGCAATATGGGAATAGTAATGTATGCCGCCAGTAGGCAAATATTCATACATGCCACATTTATGTGCTCTCATGAGACCTCGCGAGTCTATATTGACTGACTAGCTCAACAAGATGCAGTTGTAAGGTCTGCAGAGTGTGAAGAAGAAGCGCTATCTACAGCGCATATGGATCACGTGATAATGAGCTCTTCCACATGGAAAGTTGAAATACTTCTCCATCGTTACCACATCCCATAATCCTCATTCAACTCTTCTGAGCTCAGGTCCGGTCATCGGAACGAGCTATTACTGCACAATGACCACACCGAAGCCTCACATAGCTCGCGAGCTTCTTGCGCGCGCCCACTCACCAGACACAGCAGAACAGCTCTTCACGGAGCGCGTCAAACAAAAACCCCTCTACCTCAGACCGACCTCCCCCACACCTGCGGACAACCGAGAAAGACGTCGCCTGCACCGTATCCGCAAAAAGGAATACTTCTTGCGCAAACAGAAACCAAAGCCCCTCTCCGCGCGCGAAAAGCGCATCTCGGGCCTCTACGATCTTCCCAAGGAGGAATGCAAATATTCCATCTTCAAGGAGCTTCACAAATTATGGGTTGGCTACATGCAAGAGATCCTGGACCTACGAGTTCGAAAGGTTCCCATCACGCCACAGTCGCATGGGAGCAAGCTGGTTACTGCAGATTTTCATGGTGCTGAGGTGGAGGTTGTTCGGAGTCGGTGCGCAGGGCGGGTAGGTGTGAAGGGAATCGTGGCGAGGGACACAAAGTTCACCTTTATGATTGTCACGGAGAAGGATGAGGTGAAGAGTGAGTTCGCTTTCGCAAATCCCATTATACGGCCGGAGAAGTAAACCTTGGGCTAATTTGCGCCGCGAAGCTATACCCAAAGAACAGACCATCTTCCGCTTCACTGTTCCTTTGCCGTCGGCAGATGATGAGGACACCGCTATGTCGTATGGTGATAAGGCCAAGAAGGCACTTACGTTTGAGCTACACGGTAGCCAATTCGAGAATCGGCCAGTCGACCGGGCCAACAAGAAATTCAAATGGCGAAATGTGGACTACATCTAGGAGTATCGGGTTTCGATAGCACAGTGTCAATGACGATGCAGGCTCTTACTAGCCATGAGCTGGTCGCATGCCTTCACGCGAAAGGGGACTACACTGAATACGCTACCAAGCAGTCGTCTGCTGGTAAACTCTCCATCTAGGGAAAAGGAGCATCTGATCACCGACATCTGCTGCGAAAGATGGCCAGGGTGGGGTCAGAGCTCGAGAGCTCATGTTCCGCAGAATTTCCAGACATAGTTATGTTCTGATAGAACCGGAACTGCAGGCCTGTGTTTTCCCGTCGTGGGGGACATACAAACAGTTGCGGCGCACCCGGGCCAACAATTCCATTCTACTCTAACGCTATGCAATTTTCGAAGAACCGTGGGTCCACTGCGATGTTCGCATGGCCTATCCGGATATCACCGAATCTCAATCCATAACTCTCGCTTGATTCCTCGTTTCCTTGTCAATCCGCTATATCTCGGATATCTGAATGTTCTGCATCTATCTCCTCCTTTTGACTCAGTAGACGACCGGAATGTGCGCAAGGCGTATACTTGGTGAGCCCTGTCTGCCATGTTCTGAGGTCCGTCCATGCTAATGATCAGTCACGAGCCGTTATGGCGTGCTGGCCCTGATATCGCAGATTCCCATCTTCATCGAGTAGCGCAGCCTGGCCGACCTTTTTCTTTTTCAAAGTGACAGAATCCAGGTCAATTTACACCCAGAACTGAAGCGCTATCACGGAGAGGACACCGGAAGAGGGTAGCATGAGCGTGCCGCTAGACCACAATATGTATGGGCCGCTCGCCCATGTGAGTTGAAACGTGGGGTGCGGTAAAGCACCAACAATCCACCTTCACATTCCCGCCCATTCAATGCTGAAGGTCCGCACATTACTCCCTACTTCGTTGATCGAGTCTCCATCCTTTTTCTCAGCTCCTCCTAAGAGGAAGCCCTTCTTGACACCAGTCCCTAGTCGCCCGCCGACGATGATATCCATCAGATCAATCTCCTCATCCCATTCGGCGGACACGACCAAAAAGTGAGAATGGAATCGCAGAGGGTCGCCAGGATATGCAAGGTACTGGCAGCCGAATCGGAGACCTGGTGACAGATAATAGCCCTCCGCGTGTAGGTGGGCAAACAACGGGTACGATGATGGCACCTCTGGAAGTGGTAGAAGCTGCTTAGCAGGCAGATCAGAAGGTAGAAGATCCTCGGATGTAGCGGGAGTGATCCCCATGGCGTTTTGTGGTTGGATTGCAATTGAGGTTCGTCGTGATGTCTGGGTGGAATCCGGTTGTTCATCGTCACCCGCAAAGAACTCAGAGCCTGGCATGTCTTGCACGCCGTCTGCGGAGACCTGTTTTGGAGCAGCTCTCTTTGCCTTGGCTGCCTTCTTCTCATCTAAATTCTTTAACACTTCCTCCCTTCTCTGCTCCTTTCGGCTAGTTTGAAGTCGCATTGCTTGGAGACCCTGGTTTTCTATATCTTGCAGGTACCTCTGCCGGTCTGCCTCCATGATAGATTTCATTCCATCCTTCTGGAATTTTACCTCGTCTACAATGCAAGCTACACCTTTCTCCACCAGAAGCCTGGCCTCTTCAGGCATCAGCTCTAGCGGCAAGCCCAGGAAGACATTTTGTTGCGGGATTTGTGGCAAGGTACCGATCAAGACACCACAGATGTGATGTTCGCGTCTCAAATACGTGACAGCATCAATTGAGAAAAGATAGTAACTACCCGAGATATACGAGATCGGAATAGGGAGGGAAGGTTGAGTATCCATTCTTGACGATAACAATAGCACAATTGCTTAAATCAATCACTGTTGCGACGGTGTCGACGTTAGCCTCCAGCTCCAAGAGATAAGTGGAGTATAAAGGATTCAAGGGTAGACAAATCATTCTCGATACGTTTCTCAATCACATGTGCTCGAATTTTTTTTGGAGATAAATAAATGAGCTTCAGGGGATTGACAGATTATAGTAGTTGTATAATCATGTGAGGGTATGGGTGAAAGACGAAAAAATAAGACGTTTGACTTACCATCAGAAGAATTTCGATAGTAGAGGAGTGACATGCTCTGGATATCGTCCTGCGAGAGTCAGAGCTTATAGATGTCACCCAAAGCTGTAGATTGCGAGTGAGGAAAAGAAGAGCACAAAGTAGTGGGTGGAGGTGCTGAGAAAGAAAAATGTACCCTACTAGAAACGAAGCTAATCCTATTCGGGCATGCTGTTTCGGCAGCGCAAACGGACCGGAGACATCCAGACTAGCTTAGACTTCGGATCTAGTTCGTACGTTGATCTCTCTCAGTGTATATACACGGCCAAAAACTATGTTTCTTGGTGACTATCAGTGGAAAGATCTTTGATTGATATTCGACGGTCTAGTAGCCACTGTCACGATGAACTTCCTAATGTTGCTCCTCTTGGTCTTCTTGGCACCCTTCTTCCTATTTCTAGGTAGGCACTGCTTTTGCAGTTGTTTCTTATCACCCCAGCGCTGACTATATAAAGGGTGGCTCGGTATCTCAGCGATTCGCCGGAGTCGCCTTGGCTCCTATTTTCCAGGAGTCTCCGTAAGACCTGGACTCGATGCCTATGACAGGCATTATCTTCGAACTATGGTCAATACTGGCTCCTCTATGTCCGAACAGATCGAGTTGGACAACATGTTGGTGCAGTCAGACCATGAAGAGTAGGGAACAAGATCTGCTAGTGTAGTCTTCCAGCTCTGTGGACATGCAATCAGAACTCAAGGTCCGCTTTCTTCGGCATCCCGCCGGGTCCCGCAGCATCTTGTGCCTCTTTGTCTCCTTCAGCAGGTGGTAGGCTAAAGGGCTTGATTTCAAATCTTCGTCTGCTCAGGGTGAAGGCCCAGTCTTGTCCTACGTTCTGATCACTTCCGCCACCACGCTCGTGAAGCACTGGCAACTTATGAGTCTTGAGCATGCCTTGTGGTGGCTCCTCCTGTGATGTCGCAGCCCCAGATGTTGCGAGGGCATTGGCCGAATGGGGGAAAGGACAAAGTTCAATGACTCCGTCGCTGATTATCTCCATCCATCGCACCAGTCCTGACGAGCGCGGGAAGAGAGACAAAGGAACTGTGACCATTGCCGTGATGCGGTGACACTGGGTATTCATCAATGCCCTCAATGCATGGAGAAAGGGCAGAACATGGTCTGGCTGGCTGACTTTGGATGGATATATCGTAGGGTTGAGTAAGGATGGAATGACGACACGATGTACTGTGTTTGGGTGACTCGAAGCAATTGCCGTCTGAAGACGTTTGTAAATCGAGATGAACAAGGGTTCATTCGACGGCGTGAGGGGTATATATGTCAAGTTCGATATGGAAGGGTGGGTGAGACGCTTTGTGAGATCAAAGGCGTGACAGAACGCCTCTTGCTTGTTCATATCAGCAGCTGTTGGACTCTGTTCTCCTGAAACAGCAGGAGCTACTTCCGTCAGCACAATTTCATTGCAAGGTTTGGATGCTGGAGCGCATTCGTTAACGATGCATACCTCGGGACCCCGCGACTCCAGCACCAAATTCTCCCAAACGCTCATACCGCCAAGCAATCTTCATGCGCTCGCTCTTTTTCTTATCGGATTTCTCGTCCAGCATGTCTGCGGGACCTATTAAGCCTGGGAGACTTCTACCCCATTGTTCCGGCATTCCAATGACGTGAACCATTTGGTCTTGCACCACACCTTCAGCGGCATAATATCGTAGCAGTGCACCCGCAAAATCTGTAGTCCCATTCTCTTCAATTAAGAGTATTTTCCCAATAGGAAGCCCTCCGTGCCCCGCCAGAAGGTTATCGAGCGATCGTGTGCCTGTCGAAGTAGTTGGTCGCCCATCGTCGGGGGAGGGACGGATACCGGGATGCGAATCTGTAGTAGTGGTGGCTTGCGGCGCCTGCGCAGACGTATTGGCAATAGTCGTGCGATCGACGGCTCCCGACAAGCCTATATTGCGCTTGCGAAACGACATTTTGTGCAATGGTTGTTGTTGGTTTTTTGGGAGCTCGAAGCTCTCTTGAGAATTTGTTGCGGGGCAGCTTCCGGAAGGAAACTAAAGCGGCGGTACGCTAAAAGTTGAGCAAAAAAAGCTGCCGTTCAATTCTCCGATCTCAAGACCGCTTCGCCAGTTCCTTGACAATCGACATTCACACGGTCCTGTGGCCTCTCTTTATCCGTCAATACCAGAGCTGCCTCGATATATTCGCTCTTTACACACGCCTTTCTAACAATTTCTCGTCGAGTCTCGTTCAGATCGCTCGGTCGCAATCATGTCGGATCCGCTCCTTTTCGAAGATACCTTCACGATCACTGCGATCAATTCGCAGAAATATGATCGCGTTTCTCGTCTGACCTGCACCTCTTCCGATTCCATGACCACATTTACTCTCGATATCAATAGTGAGCTGTACCCCTGCGCGGTTGGCGAGTCGGTTTCTATGGCACTTGCTTCGACACTTTCTCTGGACGGCAAGGAGGCTACAGGGGCGAAGGCCAGCTGGAGAGAAGTAGGAGCCGGTGAGCAGACTTTGGCGAATGACTATGACTATGTCTGCCACGGCAAGGTTTATCGGTTCGAGGAGGCAGCGACCCAGGGCAACATGTAAGACTCAATTCCGGCCCCATGCCCTGTGTTTTGACCGGGGGATCGACCTTTAATGCACCGCGCATTTACTGACGATTTGCGCATACAGGGCTGTTTTTGTCTCCTTTGGCGGACTGTTGCTTTACCTCGAAGGGCCCTACAAGAAGCTGGCTCCTCTCCGCATTGATTACGTGTATCTGCTCCTCAAGAAATAAACGAAAGGAACCCTCTCCATCAACTTGTGTCTCCAAAACCTTGCGAGCAATTTCGCTTTTAAGCTTGGCAGAAAAGTTGTATTTGCATTCTTCATTTTGGGTTGCAGCGTCGGCGTTTGATTGGATGATTGGGTATATTAAATGAAACAGAAAGAACTTAACGTGACACAAACATCTCTACCTGTTCGTCTCTAGCTCGTGCAACTTCCGGCAGCATTATAAACTACCTCGCGGCGTGCGATACAGTTGGGTACTCAAGGCGGCGGTGAATCCTTGCGACAATCTCCAGGTAATCGGGCTCGTTTTCGGGTGTCAGGACCCCATGTCTGATGAAGAAATCGATCAATACAACAGCGCAATTGGGCTTGAATTCACCATTTGCCAGTGCCTTCTTGGCCTCCTCGATAGTGTATAGGTTGAACTCCTCGACCTCTGAATCGCAGGGCTTCGGAATAACGTCAGCGCTGAGCTGGATATCGTAAACGTATTCAACCTCAGGCTGCAGCAGGTCGGTTTCGCCTCCAGCCCGCGCTCCACGAACATAGACATACGTGACACATCCAACAGAGCGGGCGTTTTGCCTGACCACATCCTCGGGAAGAGACGCCTCTTCCATCGCCTCGCGGACCAAACACTCAAAAGGTTTCTCCTTGGTGCTCATTCCGCCCGCCACGGAGTTGTCCAGCATTCCAGGGTACGTTTGCTTCGTCCGTGACCGCCTGGGGACCCAAATGCGTAGTCCATTTTCGTCTTCAACGTAGCAAGTGCAGTGAATACCATATGAAACGATGCCGAAGAGCGGACTTGCGCTCCGTTCCATTTCCAACAGGAACTCTCCGCCTGGACCGTAAACAGGGTAGAGCTCATTGCGCCATCCTTTCAATATGTCAAAGATTCCCCTCTTGACTACTTCACGGAGGGTCTTTGCGACCAATTGGCTCCGCTGGTCGGCTGTCGCATTTGGAGGGGTAACGAGCGTGACTGTTCGATTTGTAGAGTCAACCGACCAGCAATCCTCCGGCCAGTAGAACTTTTCCACTACCGAATTGAGGATATACCCCAGCACAGCATCACACCCGCTTACTTTGAAAGCGTGGAAATTCTTCAAGTGGGCTGCATAGAGCGTTGGATTATTCTCGTAGTATGGGAATCTGTCAAGAATTAGAACAATTGAAGAGGGGCTGAGCAAAGATGGAATACTTGTCGCATTCGTTGACCAATTCGAGATATGACTTCCCCATTGTGGTTGTATAATCAAAATAAAATAAAATAAAATAAAAGCAGAAACTATGTACAATCTTTGCCAACAATAAAAATATCCGATGTTATATACAATCTTGCCGGAGTCAGGCTGAGAGCATCTAATCTACTCTTGTCTGCCTTGTCGTACATGCGGCACGCTAAGCCACAACCCTTATCGATAAGGGCATTTCGTCACTCGCAGTCTTTCTCGGAGGTTCCATCATCGAATGCGCCAGGGATTTCTCGATAGCTCTGCTGCTAGAGCTTAGAGCTCAATCAGAATGCCACATATCGTCCTTGAGCCGGTGGCTTGACACGGCTGTGTACCATTAACTATCACTTCTGATACCCTTCTACATGAATTTCATACGTCAGCATCATACATAATCTAACAATCGTTCCCTACCCCGCCATGTTCTCCGTCATCGTCCCCGGCCGGCCCTGCCTCACAGACATTGTCGCGGTAGATGCACAGCCCAACGGCCAGGCCACGAAATTCGCCTTCACATTCCCTCTCAACCCTCCCTTCACAGAAGTCGTCGTATTCTTCTTGCCGGGCACGGTCCTCCCGCAAGACACCGCCGCAGCAATCTACATCCAATTACCCGAATCCACCCCTTCACCCAATGGTCCACAGTTCCGGTTCATCGGCGCATTAGCCAACGAGAAACCCTCCGCTGTCTTCAAAGTTCAAGGCGGCTCCTCACCAACACCGCCCCGCCGCTCAGAAGCCGAAGAGCAGGATGAGATGCTAGACGAAGGCACAGGTGCTGCCGCTGGTGGTGCGCCAGCAAACGGCATGGTAACGCTGGGTATTTCGATCGAGCCGGTCCAGACTGTTGCGCCGCAGGTTGCGGCGCTCGAGGCAGAGACGGCACCCTCGGGGACGTCGACGGATCTCGTGCGTCAGTCGCCGGAGCAGCGGCAGCAGAAGGGTCTTACGACCAAGGTCCTGGCGCAGCGCATTATCGGGAATGCGTTTAATTTCCTGGCGAGCTTTGCGTCGTCTGATCCCAGTAATAAGGGTCAGGAGGTTGTGTCATTGAAAAGCTTTCAGGATTGGTGGGCGAAGTTTGAGCGAAGGGTAGATATGGATCCGACATTTTTGGAGCGTGAGGATCCTGGAGCTAGTGGGTGACCCAAGGATAGATACGGATATGTGAGAAGATTGGGGGCAACAGAGCTTCGTTTCATTGTGGTTTGACCATGCAGAGCATGTTTGATCATCCCCTGTGAAGCCATGAAGCAGTGAAATAGACCATCGGATCTGCATGTAGTGATCCAATATCCAAAAAAAAAGTCTATATTCTGGCATACTCAACTTTACGTACAACTGCTACTCACGCTGCATGGTCTATTGAATGTCCCCAAGCAAAAACTTTAGGAAAGCAACGCCAATAGCAACGCCATCATGATCCTTCGCTGCTCGACTCAGTGCATCCTCGCCTTGTTCTTTGGAGAAGATACCCGTTGACATCCGTAACTTGACAACCTCCGACACAATATCTTCTCTGAATTCCGGGTGACCCTGAACAGTGATGAAATGCCCAGGCCTATACATCCCCTGTACGGCGCAGCGAGGGGAAGATCCAAGTGGAACGACGTTCGGTGGGTAGTCGAATACGATGTCGCGATGCATTTGTTGAATGTGCTGTAATTGTCAGTACTGCGTAGATTCGCTCTCATGGTGCTCTGCCTTATAGAAATAATGACATACCAGCTTATCCTTTCCAAACAACTCCTTTCCCTGCTCCGTCAGATCCACGTCGCATACCGCAATCTCCCATCCCGCGTCACTTCGGCCAACCTTGGCTCCGAGCGCACGTCCGATGATCTGATGCCCATAGCAGATTCCCAGAATCTTTACACGCTGATTGTCTATAGCCCGTTTTGTATATTCGACCAACTTCAGAATCCAGGGGTCGTCGTCAAAGGAGTTGTACTCTGCAAGGATGAGTCAGAGACGACACAAACAAACATACGCGGACTCAAATGGTCCATTCGCATAATAAAATCGCAAACGTAGAACTAAGGACCAAGGCCAGGTGTAGGGAAACGTGGCTACTTACTAGATCCGGTCAAGAGGATTGCATCGACATCCTCTAACCTGGGGTACTCTTGCGCGTATACGACATCCCAGCGAGAAATATCGAGTCCCGTTTCGGGGTCTAATTTGTCTGGCTGCCCGAGTGCTCTCGCGCTTTCTTTGAGCAGCAGCGAGAAGATCCCATGATAACCACCGTATCTTGCATTTGAATCTGCTGGCGGGGCGTCGCATTCGAGGACGGCGATTCGCAGTGGAGAAGGCATTGTTGTTCTAGGAAAGGGGCGATTCGAATGAAATATAGTATGCTCTTGGATCTCGGCTCAATGATGTATAGATTTTAAGAAATGTCAAAACGCAAACAAAGGCACGCTTCTCCAGGTCTATCAAGCACGGTTATGTACATTTGTAATGATGAAATGACAGATCTTTAAGCTGCACAATGGCATCTCTTATCGGTTCCCCTCACTGCCTTATCAAAGGACACCGCCTTCCTGACCGGGGAAATGCTCGTCATTCCCCAAGACTATGGCATCGATGTTGTCATGAAATTGTGCATTTTCGAGTTGACCATGTCCGGACTTGCGTCTGTCAATCTATCCCAAAGGCAGTTGAGACTGACATTGGAACTACGTGCCTCTCCATGGCGCGGGATAGGCATCGGCCTGCCCTAAGATCGGGACAAGATCCGTCGAGATCGGGTCATCCCAGCAATCATGTTGAACAAGAAGCACAGGCAAACAGTTCAATTCGGACTTGACTTGCTGCGAAAACTACCGGAATTAGCGGCGGGTGCAGATGCAGATGCAATTCTATGGTCGGATGACTCATTTTGGGCCAATCGGCAATCAAGTCACATTTGATTGTACAGGTTGGGGTTTTCTGATTGGATTAGTGCAGACAAAAAGACAAAAATTTCCAGGGGAGGGGTAACTGGGTAAGGAAACAGTGGGCGCCTTATCCACAAGGCTCTCCATATCAATCCAACCGATACTACGCAGTACTCCGTACACAATTCTTCATTTTGTAGTCGAGCACGGGACCAAGTTGAATAAATGTATTCAGTCATTAAAATGACAGACCTACTAGACAGCTAAATCTGCCTTCTTAACTCTTTCGTCAAGGCTCACATCTGTGGAATAGGAGTCATTTCAAATGCCTGCCTGCAGATACCCCAAAACTACCTTGCCTGTGCATTAGCGTGTCTTGCTAGACCCATGCTTGATTGACTACCTCAGGTATAAGACTGCAAGTTCTCAATGTTGGAGACCTGCAGCATCTTGACTCAGTGCCATGCTGAACCTTTCCATCAAGGTTCTTGACCTCGGCGATCGGCTTATAATAGAGGCAGAAAAACTTTGATCTACTCTAATCGTTTTCCTCCGAACTCACTACTCTTGACATCCATTCCTCTATACGGACCCTCCTAGAAATGACCGTCGCTCAAGGGCCGGGCGGAACACCACCGCGTCCACAACGAGAGCGCCCTGACATTGATGAAGACACTCCTCTGCTCAAGACAAAATCTTCGCACCGACTTCTGTACTCAGATGCCGGGAGTTATTCGGCGTTAGACGAGAGCGCCGATGCGGTCTCGACATCGACTTCTTTCCCAGCAGAAGATGAGGAAGCTCTTCTCAACCTCACCAGAGTCAGTTCGTTACCTCAAGGTCTTGATATCGAACCGAGCCTCGAGCATATTCCTCCTGTCCCTATTGTGGATAAAGGGGCTTCCGCGGACCCAGAAAACTGCTCAGTGCGTCAGAAAGATGATTATGCCTCCCGATTTATTGGCGTATCACCCATGCGCTTCTGGCTCATTTTCTCCGGGATTCTATTGGGTTATGTGATCGGATTCTTTGACTCGACCTTAATGGCATCTAGCCACCCCGTCATCACGTCGCACTTTCATGCCTCGAACTCTGCATCATGGCTCTCGACTGCTTTTCTTTTGACATCGACTGCCTTCCTTCCACTTTTTGGGCGCATCTCGGACACGTTCGGCCGAAAACCCGTCTATCTTTTTGCCATTGCTATTTTCTTCGTGACCACAGCATGGTGTGCAGCCGCGCAAAGTATCGGAAGTTTCATCGCTGCCCGTGCTGTCTGTGGGCTCGGAGCTGGTGGTGTTTTCTCTATGGGGATGATCTTGTCTAGCGACCTTGTCCGTATCGAGTACCGAGGGTTGTATCAGTCCTATATCAATCTCGTTCTCGGAGTTGGGGGCTGCCTTGGGCTTGCTTTTGGCGGCTTCCTGTGTGATCATGTGGGATGGAGAGGTGCGTTCCTCGTGCAGCTGCCGTTCATCTTCGTTTACTTCATCGTCGCAGCTTGGACAACGCCAGCAGACCTAGGACTGAAGAGAGCAAAAGCGGATCGGATGAGCGTGTCTCAATTGATCAGAAGCATCGACTTGACAGGGTCCTTCATACTTGTGGTTACAGTGACGGCTTTGATCATGGGTCTCAACCTAGGTGGTAATGTGTTCGCATGGACTCACCCCCTCGTTATCTCATCGCTAGCCTTATCAATTGTTCTAGCCGTGGTCTTTGTGCGATATGAACGGAACGTTGAACGGGCTGTGATGCCAATATCACTCCTGTCAAAGCAACCTCGTGCAAGCATCATTTTTGGAAATTTCTTTGGGTCAATCTCGATCAACACCATGATTTTCAATGCTCCGCTGTATTTCCAGGCGGTCAAATTGGCAAGTCCTACCGATTCTGGTCTCAGATTGGTCGCTGCTACTCTCGCTGTCACAGTTTCTAGCGTGTCGACCGGCTTCTTGATCACTTGGACCAAGCGTCTCAAGCCCACAATGCTCGTTGGCGGCCTCTTCCTCTTGATCGGAGGCTGTGCTGCGGCTTTGATTGGTAAAGACACTCCTGATTTAGTCGCGATGATCTGTGTCTCTCTGTCCAGTCTCGGCCAGGGTTTCTCCTTTCCCACACTCATGGTATCCGTACTGGCTACAAGCGCACAAGAAGAGCAGGCTGTAGCTACGACAACTCTGGGCCTCTTTAGAAACCTGGGGTCAGTCATGGGTGTGGCGACGAGCAGCTGGGTATTCCAGAATACACTTGTGTATCAGCTCGACGAACTGGTGACCTCTCCCGACAAAGACGGCGTCATTCTTCTCGTCCGCAAATCGGTTCAAGCTATTGCTAACCTGGATCCAATGCATCAGCAGCAAGGTTAGTGTTTTCAACACCACGTGTGAGACACACCTACTAATTGTAACCAGTGATTGAGGCATATGCTGCAGCTCTCCGTGTGACCTTCTTTTCCGCAGCCATCTGGGGAGCGATCATGTTCATGATGCACATTCGTATTCGCTTGCCTAGGTTAGGTAGCAAGGCCTCATCCTAGTCAGCCGTTAAGCTTGGTCTTTTCAAAGACTTGTAAGTATTCTTTTAAACTTTATCTACAAAATATGGCTTTTCCAGGAAGTCCAGACGCAATGGGGGAAGAAATGTGTGCATGACGCGCTCATATAAAATGGTAAATGGATCCCAGGCTGGATTCGAGCATAAAGTGTTCAATCCGTAAAGTATCAATGGCAATTAACTATGGTGAATCATCGCATCTCAGTAATAGAACTCATTCCAGTCTGTAGCTTAGAAGTTCGTGTAGTCCCAATCAGATAAACCTTCGGGATCAACTTGGGGTAAAGCAAGTGGCCCCCATGGTTTAGTCACCAAATCTCACATTCCCCGCAAATCTTCGCTTCAACACCTTCGTCCAGGAGCAGCACTGTGCACCGATTCGCTCTACACAAACTGCTCAGTGGCTTTTCTGCTCTATATTCTGTAAGACAAGATCCCAGAGGATTAGACTACCATGGTTCCGATGGTGATTATCACAAGCTAACAGTTTTGCGGCATTAGACTACGCGACTGCACGACGTTGGAGACTCCAGCCCAGCGGCTACAACACAATGGTCCAGGTATGGATCCTATGGAGGTGATATATAAGGTCTCTTATTCTCGTTCTCGTCTGCTCGGGGACGGCTCCTGGTCAGTGAAGGAAGTGTTCGAACGACTTAGCGCGACTTGACATGGCTTCTGTCGGCAACACTGCCTTTCCACAGTCGAAGCGGAACATTTCGATTGATCCACTCTCTCGGGAGGGGAATGCGAACAGTGATACCATCGACTCAAATGCTGCTGACCATGAACTACTGGCCGGCCAAGCGCCCCAAGACGATGCACCAGATACCAGCCTTTTCGAGGAGAGTGAGGTGCCAACATCGACGAATTCGCCGGCGAGCACACCACGTGTATTGAGCAAAAGACGGAAAAGAATAGTCGGCGGCAAACCCAAGCGCGTCCGTACGGGCTGTCTGACATGTCGCGAGCGCCATCTGAAATGCGACGAGACTTCGCACCGGTGTCAGAATTGTCGCAAATCAGGGAGAATATGCAGACGTGGCGTTCGCTTGAATTTTATTGATACACAGACTGTGGCGCCTCCACACTGTATTCCTCGTCCGCCTGGTGCATCTGTCAATTTTCGGGATGAGTCCAGAGTTATCGCATCGGAGTATGTGGGCGGAGCCGAGAGATATCCCCCTCCGGGAATGGAGCCTCCTTTGGAATTGGCTTTGCGTTCAGAGTATCCCTCTCTGATAAGCCCCCCAATACCTCTGTCTTCGATGGACAGCATGTCTTCGCTTTTTGGAATCACTCAGGTTTCGCTGCATGACCAAAGCGGTAACTTCGCCGGCCATGCGCTCTCGGCGGATTATTCTGTCTTTCCTGATCAGAGTGCTTCATACGCCCCATTCAAGTCAGCAAAGGTTGGAGCAAAGGACTCAAATGACCGTGTATATCTCAACGACCCCGAAGACATTCTGCTGTTGCGGGTCTTCGTCGAGGAGGTGGGGGTATGGATGGATTCTATGGATGCAGTCAAGCATGTAAGGCCTGTATTGTAAACCATCGCTTTCTTGCTTCTGACTTGACCAGTTCACTGAAATACTACCATTTCACGCATTGGAGGAGCCTATGCTTCTGAAAGCGTTTATGGCATGCGGCGCTCGACATCTGTATCTGGTCAATCCTGCATATGGCGAAGAGAAGGCGACGTACTTTCATGACATAGCTTCCCGAGACCTACTTCACTCCTTGCAAGATCCGGATCGTGACTCTGCACTGTGTGCTACAACCGCTGTCGTTCTCAATGTGTACGAATTAATGAGCTCCCGCTCGATTCAAGACATGAATCATATTGCAGGGGCAAGAGCACTCATTAAGGAATGTCACTGGGATGCAAGATCTCCAGGCTTGGGCGGTGCTTGCTTTTGGCTCAATGTTGGCATGGAGCTGCTCATTTGTATGCGCTACAATTGGGCTTTGGCCTGGGATCCTGATACCTGGGGTGTAAAGATGACTATGGACCCAGCGGAACCCAGCATCGCAGGCAACGAAGAAATGTGGACCCACCGTATGGTTTATATCTGTGCCAAAGTCGCAAATTTCCGGTCCTCTGTATCTCATTCTGAGGTCTCGAATAGTTCGCCAAATAACTTCCAGGAGGAGTGGAATACATACAACGATTGGTGTGATCAGTGGGCGAAAGCTGCACCACGATCCATGATGCCTGTCGGCTATCTTCATCCGTGGCAAACCAGGTCCAAATCACAATTTCCTGAGATCTGGTAGGTCTGCTGAGTTTTATCGCTCTACCGACATATTTACTGACACATTTTCAAAAGGTTGATCAAGCGATCCGCTATAGTCGCTCGATTATTTTACCATGTGTCACGGTTGATGCTGGCCAGACTTCGTCTCTCGCAATCTGAATTCAGCCCCGAAATGGAGCACATGCAGCAGCTTCATGCGCATGATATCTGTGGCATTGTAGCGCACGTCAAGGATCGGTATGGACTCATCCCGGGTGGTTGAGAACTACTCTTGACTGACTTTGAGCAGTGGCCTTGCTGGCTTGTCCATTCAATTTCTAGCTGTTGCAGCGGAATGTCTGGTGACGAAGGAGGCTCAGGAAGAAGTGATAAAGACCCTCGACAGGATCGTCAAGGAGACCGGGTGGCGCGCTGATCATATCCGGAACGACCTCCAGCAAACCTGGGGTTGGCAAATCCCTCATCAACAAGAAGTTCCATCTGTTTCCACAGAGACCATCTCACTATTCGATGGTCACAACCCTTTGCATGCGTCCGATACGGCCGACTTACGATGCCCACCTGGTGCCATCAATCCGATCATGGCTTATGCCGATTTCTCAATGGAAAATCATCCTTACCAGGAATACTATGTTGCGCCTCATCATCCTATACATGACTTTTCGTACGATTTGTTCTGATTTAGATACGTCGATTGACCGGACGGAGTTTTGGCATTTCTTTCTGGAGGTTTATCTTGATATGGGCACTGGGCGTTTCTCACGTTGATACCACGAAGGCTTCTCCACGATTTTTGACTTTGATGTGCTTTTCTCAATGCTGGCGGGTACGATTAATCTTCTTCTCAGGATGTGGTCGATGTCATGATGCACATATTTTGCTCGTTGTATACTAGCGTTCTGGATGTGTATATCTGCAGCTTCCTGTATAGACGAGATAAACAAAATGAATTCCTAACTCTTCTTCTTCGTTGATGTGAGCATCTGGCAAACAGCCTACTCATAGTACTGGTGTATTCAGCTAGTCCGCTTCTTCTCGACGGGCCCTCCTATTTAGTCGTAAGTGCTCGCTTCTGCACTCTTCTCTATTCCCTCAGAAGCGGGTGATGCGACAGTGCCAAGACTTGCTTGTTCCGTAGAACTTCGCGTCTTTCTTTCTTACTCCATCAACGCATCAGCATTCAGGGCGGATAGAGAGCATCAAATTTACAAAAATTCTGGCCTGTAATCACTTGACTTGACAATTCTGCGCATTCTAACAAACAAATGAGCGAGCCCAGCGAGGTCACTAACCAGGCTGCCCGACCTCCAGCAACACCTATCTATATCCTTCGCGGACATGCAGCCCCAATCCATGCGCTGCATCTGTTCAACCAGAATTTGCGGCTAATCTCAGCCGATGCGGATGGATGGGTAATTGTCTGGGACTTGGTGATGAAACGTCCAGTGGCCGCATGGAAAGCGCACGAAGGGGCAATTCTTGAAGTCAAGGGTTTTACTTCCACTGCGAGAGCAGAAACAGACGTATATACGTATGCTTGCGCTTACTTCCGGTATCAAACAATTGCTAACTAGATGGCTCAGACACGGAAGAGATCATAAACTGCGAGTGTGGAGATTCCGCCGCCAGGACGAAGAAGTCCTTCAGAAAACTCTGCCCGTCGAGATTGGCGAGGGACCTCATGCAAACACCGCCAGCCAGCCCTGGCTCGTGCATTCTCTTCCAGTGAACGCGCTGAACTTCTGTGCGTTTTCGCTGCTCTTTCTAAGAGAGAGCGCGTGTGCGAATAGCAGTCAAGGCGCCAACATGGCGGAAGAATCCGCAGACGCTACACCGCAGGAGGCGCCCCGGTCGCCTGCGCTGATAGCGGTTCCTAACGCCCTGAACTCAGGCGCTATCGATCTGTTCCACCTTCCGCTTGAGAGGCGAGTGTGCACGATTCCCGCGGATACGACTACGGATACCGGGATGGTCATGGCTGCTCATTTGTTCACGGGACCGCCTGGGGACCTGTATGTTGCATCGGCGTACGAAGATGGGCACGTCATGCTTTTTGCCCGCCGAGGGCTTGTTAAAGAGCAAGATATCTTACAGGGGACTACCGCGTCCTGGAAGTGGGAGAAGCTCTATGCCTGTCGACCTCATAGCCAACCGGTCTTGTCTATTGACGTCTTCCCTCAGGGGAATTATTTCCTTTCCTCGTCTGCTGACGCGTTGCTGGTGAAGCATCCTATTCCCCGCTTGGGTGAGCGTAGTCACCCATTGACGAATCGACCGGAGGAGGCAGTTTTGAAGACGGTAAATACAAAACATGCCGGCCAGCAGGGTCTCCGCATCAGATCTGATGGAAAGATCTTTGCGACGGCGGGTTGGGATAGTAGGATTCGAGTGTACTCGTGCAAGACCATGAAGGAACTCGCAGTGTTGAAATGGCATAAAGAGGGGTGTTACACGATTGGGTTCGGGAAGGTCCCTACTGCAGCACAATCAAATGATTCGCCTATGGACGACTCCGGCGCCGGAGGAGTCGAAAACGATTCACACGACAGCCATCAACAGGTTACAACACGAGGAGACAATGCCTATACCCTCGCAGCTGTGCAGCATCAGAGAAACAAAAAGGTGCAAACCACCCACTGGTTGGCTGCTGGGTCAAAAGATGGTAAGATTTCATTATGGGATATCTACTGAAATGAGTCACCGCTCTTCTATATACATCCGAAGC